ATATATGCGCGAAAGTGTAAAGTCGGTGAAATAAATATATTTTAAACTATAACACCTGTATTCATTGAGTTGGATAAAATCATCATCAGTCATTGAGTTCGATTGCACTGACTTCAAGTTCCTTCTTATAACTTTTCGTATGACAATTTCTCTATTAGTTGTGCGGAAATAGATCTAATTAGGAACCGTTACTTAATATATGCATGCACAGTGACTTTCCTAGGAATTGTGATCGATCCTTGGAACAAGCCACAGACATCAAAAGGTGGATGTTCGAAAAATTACAACCAAATCACCAAATTTAGATTAGGTTTAAAACTTTTTTTCTTGACGACAGTTTATAGGTTATTAGTATTATAGGAAAGTGATATAATAAAATAAATGTGCTATCGGTATTTGTCGTTTGCATTAAAACAGGCCCGTGGCTAAACATTAAATGTTTTCTTATAACCAGAAAGTAAAAAAAAAATCAGAGGTAGTTGCAAAGATTGACATTAGAAAGTTCCTATTCAACTCTTGCGACTTGCGTTTGGAGTCAGTACCAGCGCACAAAGCTGCATCAGCAGTGATTCAGTTGAACTAGCTTATCGTATTTTTCTCGTACGATATGTTCTCCGTTCGCTTTGCGTGCTTCTTAATCATCCAATAAAGTCAATGTTTTTTTTTCACCGACCGATAGCGATGAGCAAAAAAGCCACGAATATATCAGCAAACATCAATTATAGTTTAAGTAACAAATAGACACTGCTGCGATGTGTTTGATTCTAACGGCTCTTACCTAGGTAGCACTTACAATGAACTCAAAGTACTAGATAGCTAAGCCAACTGGATCAAGGAGTACTTATCAAAAAAGGCTTCACAAATCGGGCCAGTTCTGTTTTGATTATTAGGTTTTACTAAAAAATTGAATACAAAGTTTCTTTGGGTAACGCCTTATGTAAATAATTTGGCACAGCGTAGCAATTGGTTCCTAAAGGTAAGTATGCAGATATGGGAGCTGAGTTCAGTCATAGTCTGTTCCATAATGGCGTAACAAATGAAGCCACTTGCTGTTGTTGAAACGACGAACGTTTTACCATGAAAGACCGTATTTGTAAATACGGCTCACTCACCATTTTTATTGGTTATTAAAAGGTGTGAATGATTTTCAAGTCAGATAGTCTTAGAGTCACACATGCTAGATGTATAAGTCGATACTAGTGTCATTCGAAAGCTGAAGTCCGGCTAAATTTATTAAGACTTAAGGTAGAGCTTCTCAAAGATAAGTTAAATTTGTGTAAAAATTTGCTATATCTCACAGTTTTGTTACGATAAAGACCAAAAACAAAAAAAAATTTGTGCCCTCTTTGATCAGGACGCATTATCGGAATAAATGGCCCAAAAATGGTTTTGTTGCCTTCGTTTTGGCAATTTCTACGTTGAGGATACTTCTCGTGGCGATCCGTTCCATAAATAGACGAAATTATTGTAAGAGTTGAACAAGACGATACGTCAGTAGCCGAGACATCGCTAAGAAACTAAACATTATTCATCAAACAGTTTTAAATAGTTCAAAAAAAAAGGATGTTACAATTGGGAACTTGACATTCGAGCACAACACGAATTGACGTAATGTCATTTACTCGAACGTAGTTTTGTCTGCACAACTCTACGCAGTTGCAACGAGGCTGAACTATTTTTAAAGCGGCTGATTACGGACAATAAAAAATGGACCATATACGAAAATAATTTGTGGAAAATATAATAGTCATAATGACGAAAAGCACAATCTGTGGTAAAGCTTGGACCAAACACACTGCATCACCTCCAAAGGAGGTGATGCAGTGTGTTTGGTAAAATAGGAAGGGAATTATGAGCTGCTGTTACTTGGCAAAATCTCTACCATTAAAAACTAGTAAAATTACAAAGGACTATTGAAAAAATAGAAAAAACGTCATCCTCCATCCACCGGAACAATACGAGGTTACACACATATTTATCTATCTGACAAAAACTTAGAGAATTTAAATGGAAATTTTAATGCTGTATGATGCGGACCTTGCGCCATTAAACTAGCGTGTTTTAGTCGCTACAAAATTCACCTGATGGTGTTAGTTTAATTTCAATGAAAAGATGCAGAAATAATTCGTTCATTCAACCGTCTCAAGGCGAATTCTCGGTGATAAAAGGGGAATTAGCAGTGGATGAATGCATAAATGGCATTAGTAGGTGAAGTAAAGTAACGCGGGCTGGTGACAGCGAAGCTACTCGTTGAATGTCGGGCCTCGACAGCGAGTGGAAGTCTAGCACAGAAAGAAGGGACCAACCTCTCGCTTCCGGCAATATGCCCCATCTGCGTATATCCGCATTCTCTCCGCCTCGTTCCCTCAAGGCACCACTCGTCGACGCCAATCACTACTGCCCCCACCAATCGTTGCCTCTCGCGCGCATACCGCCTTAACGCGCCTTCAACGTCAAAGAAGGAAGCACTTCATCCAAGCAGTTTTCTGTTCTTCCCAATTTCAAGCACTAGCACCCAAATGTGCGCCTACCCTGAGAGGCTGCCAGGTCGCAGGACCACGGAGTGGGCACGCCGCTTTCTCTATTTCTTTCTCAATCGTGTGTCCGCCTTTTTCGCAGAAAGCTAGGGTTGATCAGATGCGGGCAGAGCCTATGTACTTCCCTGCCATTTTGTCGGAAATGTGAGCGTGAAAGTGAAATGGTGTTGGAACGTTAGGGTAGAATATTGGAGTTGTAAAGGGGTAGACGCAAGGCCAGGTAACAAAGGGATGATTTTCAATGCTCCAGGCAATACGATACTTTGTTGTTCTTCTTTGTTTGTTCCTCACTCTCGTTTTTTCTACAGCTATGCTGTCTGCCGCTGCTCCTGCTGATAGTCCGACTGCCGTTAATGGCTTATTTTGGGGTCTGCGCCCCCTCCATCCTCTAGTTTAGCGTTGGATGCTGAGAAAATCCGTAACAGCTGCAGTTAAGTGCGCAAAGACAGACAAAGAAGTACCACAGTTGAGAACCAGTAGCAGCAGCTTGGCCCGACCTAGAGACGGGAAGGCAGCAAAAGCAGACGCAACAACTAAACTGGCGCCATCAGCAATCGAACACAGCGTCTTGTTTGCAACTTGATATACCGCTGTTGCAGTGGCTGCTGCTTTTAATGGGATCCAGAACAGGTTTCGAGGATTAGAACATGTTTTTCCACTACGATACATAGAAGGCGCATTTTGCCGATTACCTGCCTGTCCGACCAGTTCTTGACTTTTTTGGTGCACTGACAGACGATCAGCTGCAGTAGAACATATAGCTATCGCCTTTATACGCGCATGCAACCAACGTTGGCGCAACTGCTGTTACGGCTACTGCCGTTGGCGTGAAGCCGTCACATGCACTTAGTTGAAGCGCATGCGCCCAATCGATGTCAGTCAGAGTCGACAGGTACAGTGTGACCGCCGTTGTATATCTCATATAGAATAGCACAAAGGTGCATCGTAGAAACGGCGGCCCACCTACCAAAGTATCAAAACGGTGGACAAAGACTATGGAGACAACGGTGGTGAGGGCAACGTCGAAAACCATGTCCCTCGCAGCACCACATTTCGCGATCAGATGTACTCTTTCCTTCGTTATGGTGTACGTTCGCTCAACAGACGCTCAGTTGCAAGCAGCCCTTAATAGACTCTGGGAGGGTCGAAAGAACCTTGCTCGGCGACCAACGATAACTAAGAGAGACCCCATAACGTTAGTGTTTGAAGCCGAAGGAAGGGCACCGAACAGCCAGAAGGAAAGAGCTAAATAGGGAAAGAGAAAATGCGTGTCAGTAGCGGCAGCCAGCAGGTCCCATTGGCGGCTGTAACGCTGGAAATAGGAGCAAGCACGATTGGACGAGAAGAGCTAAGTGATGCTGGAAAACTAGAGGTAGTTGTCTGCCTGCCTATTCTACGGATCCCAACTGACCGGCTAAGAGAGCGAGCGCTATCTGTCGTCATCGAAGAACGCGGTGGAAAGGGAACACGACTAGGCGCGGCAGTAGTGGCGGCGACTGGTCCTCCGCTGCTGCTAAGGGCTGAACGTTGAGAAAAAGGCCGAGATATTTGTGCTGTGACTCTGTGGTTCGTACTCGTTGCTGCTGCTGCCTGCGGTGCTGTGGCGTGGCTCAGTGTGGCTCGATCGGCTACGAAGCCTATTCTCTACAGCTGCAGCGGCGGTGGCGGTGGCGGCAAAGGGGGCCTTAGGCTTTTAGCTTAACGCTGCCCGCCACGGCCATTATCAGACAGACCTGCCAGCCACCGCTCTGTCTTTCTCTACCTATCTCTTTAAACGTGTTGTGCTGTTCGGTCTGCTGCCGCGGTCCGCTACTATAGGCCTATGAAATGGTCAGCTGCTGTTGTGCCGACAACGGCTGTAGTAGCCGCTCCGCGATTGGGGAAGGGTATTAGAGGCAAGACAGGGCCGAGACCGTCAGGAACAAGCGCGAGCTAGCGGACAGGCAGGCGGGCGGGCGGGCAAGAAACCAAGCAGGAAACCACTAGGACGCCATATTGAAAGTTTATTCTACAATCATTTGCTTTGTCGCCTCTTGTGTTCCGACAGTTGAAATGTCGTTTACGCCGTTGCTCATACGGCGAGCGGCGGGCCAACTCCAACCGCAGGCCCGGGTTCTCAGTGACGTGCTAGGGTAAAAAGAAGCTATCGAGGCTCGACAAAAGCCGCCCTTACCACAGCATTTCTCTTGCAATAACGCTTTTAGGCTTTTCAGTATACCCACGAAACTTAGCGGTGCTGGTCCTGGGGGTGGTGGTGCTAGTTGTGGCAACCTAAATACCCCTCAACCTTTCCAAGAGGTAACGGTGTGTGGATCTATTCTCGATAGATTGTGATGTGACATGGACAAAGCGGAGTGCGTCGACCCTGACATTGATATCATTTCCTTTGAGCGTGACTTCGACTTCAATTCCATTGCCAAGAGAAAAAAACCACCAACCACACGATTCATTAAGCATTATCGAACGGATCGGATAGCAAACCCTCAAAAAAGAGAAAGAAATTTGGCTAACCAAGAACCTGCTCGCTGAAAGACGGTGGACTGTCACAAAACGAAGCGGTGTCAAAAAATCAAATGAGTAAATTGACACATAAAAAAAAACAAAACCTATTCCAATTCAACGCCTGAGGATCATTGTTACTGCTACCAGATCCAGTGAATAGGCAACTCTATCGCTTGTCGTTGACCAAAAGACCGACTAACGGATACAGTGGCTCTGAGAGTGACTACTGGAAGTACTCCAACACCTTACAACCTTATTACGTATCATACTAAATATCTCCTCCCTCGATAACGTGTAGTCAGAGGTAGTAGGCTCAGTGCATGAGCCTACGGCAATTCAGGACGACCGGCTGTCGCCGCAAACCGTTTCGGCTCTGGGAACAAAGGCCACTTCCATCTGGCCGTGTCCCAAGCGCAGCCGAAGCAGGTGTCACAGGTCATAATCAGCAGAGAAGAAGGACTCGCCAGACAAATCCGATCTGTGGCTCTACAAGGAACGGCGGCGGCGACGACGCAAAAATTGTGCCGCTGTTCCGAGGTGGTAACGGTGAGATTTGTCCCCACGCGACGTGCAGTATTCGCCCGTGTCCGTTGAAGAGTCGTTGTGTCAGCAGAAAAGGTTGCGATATCATCGCGTGGCCTACCGAGACGCTAGGCCACTCGAGACGACAAGAAGTCCACCCAGCAAAGGGAAAGCTCAAAAGTGTGCTGTCCACTTATCAAAGTTGCTACTACTCTAGAACCAGCAAGAGTGTTAACTATTTGGAGCTTGATCAAGAGCAACGTGTCACTTGCCACCATCGACTCGAGGCTTCAGCACTTCGACGAATATCAATAGGGATATTACCGCAGCAAGCTGTGCCGCCGATTCACGATTCCCTCGTAGTTTTTCCGCTGCACCCGCAGTAACAGTAGCATTATTTCAGTTATTCGAAGGCATGTAAGCTCCCCTCAACAGACGAATGCCGAAGTGCAGCCAGCAGGAGCAACGATTCTAGTAACTCGTAAGTCAGGCAGTGAACCCCCGAGCCGTCAAGGGCCCGCAGAAACAACGGCGACAGTTGAACAAAAGTAAGATGCGGCAGTGGTAGCTGTTGCTATTGTCGTTGCGATTGTTGTTGTAGTTGTCGTAGTGGTAGGAACACTCGGGGGTGCTGGTTCGTCACAATCGTCGTTTCCGTTGTCGTAAAGACAGTGGTAATACTCACAGGGCCTACCGTGGCAGGACCGCGTGCCGGCAACTCTGTCCATCCCCACTGTGTTACACTCCATCGTGCTACTCGTTTATTTCTTGATACCCAACGCCTTTGTGCCGTAGTTCGTATCGTGTGCAGCTCGTGTAGACGGACGCCCCCAGCGTCATTGTTGGCGGCGGCCTCGGTGGCGTCGCCGGCCGCGTCGACGCCAGCCCTGACGCTAACCTTAAGGGGTTCAGCGGACTGAGCGGCGTGGATCTCGGCGCGAGCCCCAGCCCCGACACCACTAGCAGCCACAGCAGCGCAAAACCTCAGTGTCAGACAGGGTTACGCCGGCTGCCTAGGGTGTCGCGAGGCCCAGGGGCGCACGTGGCCTTGGAGGAGCCCGGGTGCTGTTTGTGTCTGCTTGCGACAACCACGACTGCTCCGACAGGCGTTGCGGTCCGTTGTGGGCTGGGGCGGCCACACAATCGGCTCTTGCCTCTTCAGGGAGGGCCAGGTAAAGCCAAAACAACAACAACAACGACGACAACAGCAGCGGCAACAGCACGAACACCAACAACAGCAGCAGCGTCAGTGTCCGGTGCGCGTTCACGCTATTTACCACTCCACCAATCTGGCCGGCCCAAAGTGGGCGCAACGTTGTGCGCACGACCCTTCCACTGGATAGCCGACGTGCAACTTATACGTGCACGTCGTACACTCAGAGGCAACGTGCAGGCCCCCGGGTTCCTCCGACAGTGCGCGCCCGCCTCAGCGCCTACGAGCCGCCGCGAACCGTCGGTTGCTGGCTCGTCTGAATGGCTGCAGAAGCTTTACGTGAACAACCTCTTCCCCTCGATGAAATTCCTCAGGCGGGAACCTTTCGGAACAAACCGCAGGTAAGGGCAAAGATCAATAGAAAAGGCAGCAGCAGCCACGACACCGACAACAACAGAGCGACCGGCTAAAACAGAATTGATTGTAAAAATAACAGCAGGAGCAGTGTGAACCGTAACAGCTATAGGCGATTAGTGGTATGTCTGTTTGCTAATCTCATACAATTCGGATCTTCGCGTGTGTGGATATTTTTATGCCGATCGTACAAAGGCGGAACCGGAATTTATTCCCTCTCTGATATCGAAAACCCATTACACTTTCCGTAGTATAGCCGTTGTTGTTATCGTGTTGCAAAATTCCCCCTCCCACCTCCAAATGCAGTATTATTTCCTAAAGTGACAGTCTGGATACATGATATGGGAACTCGTTGAAGCTGAATTGATTTTACCTGATACATAGTGTATACATTACTTTGCTTTTTCTTACGTAAATCAGGTTTCTACCTCAATACTAATAGTAATAAGTCAATGACGTAAGCCGGCTTACGCAGGTGAGGGATCTTGCTCGTATGTATCCACTTATAACCGGACCCATTCACTCGTTCACCTACAATTTCCTACGCTCGCCCACTTGGGGAAGCCCGTACACGTATCTATTACATTGACGACGGCCGTATAGGCAAACAAACAGATAGGGCAAATGCGAAAGCCGCTACAAAGTTCGCGCGATGCTACCGGCTATAGTCGCAATCATAGAAGTAACAGAGAATGGCTTGGCTAATCATACCGATGTTATTTGCCAAATTCAGATGCTCGTGTAGTTAACGGCGAGCGAAGGCGCGGAAAACGGGTGAACAGTTAGTGGCAAGGGCCAGACCGAACCAAGAATGACGTTCCCACTCTGTCTTTTTCCTTGCTTTTGTTGCTGTACAATATTACTGTGTGTGTGTGTGCAAGCATCTGGCGAGTTCGGCCAGCGCGTCGCCGCTGGCCCATAGCGCGGACCATCTCGAAGGCCCTTTACACAATGAACCATAATCGAAACTATCTACTATAGTTGCAACAAAGAAGCTTATTGCTCCCACTGGTAGCGGTACGGTCGACGGCTATGCTTCTCTCCGGGGCCAAGTAGTCGACTACCCGACGGCCGCTTGATCGACGCGTTTCCACTAGCAGCAATTTCCGCAGAGTTTCTATCTATCTCTGGCCGTTGGCGCGCCTTCCTCTGACCGCTTCTCGGTGCTGTCTCGCGGATTTTCATTTTAAATGTCTCATGTTCTCGTGGAAAGCAAATGGCGACAGCGAAGACCCCATACTTGAGTTGCTGTTGACTCGTAACGACTGGCTCGTCGTTGCTTACCAGCCGACTTACGTCTCACTAGATCTATCGGGTGGCCATTCGGTGTCGGGGTTGGTGGGTCTTTTACCGCTTGTTTCTTCTCTTCGAGGAGGCACGAGGTGGTGATGACGCTGACGAATGCAACGGCTACAGCAGCCCCATTAGCACTGGCTGGTCGTACGGCCATTGCCTGATTTCGCTTTCGCCATGAGATTTTCTCTCAAGACGCCTCCTTCCGCCCTATTAGCTTTTGCGACCGGCTGCCTTCAGCGGTCTCGTCGCAGTTTTGTCTTCTACCACTGTTGTTATCGTTGACTGCGGCTAAAGCTATTGGTTGCCTACATCCCGTGTGGCGTTACAAGACGACGCTGGTCTTTCGAACCAAATCGTCGTTGGTGGTGATGGTGATGGTGTACACCTAAACGTCAAAAACTCTGATCACGAGTGGCGCGAACACACAGCTCGACGTTCGTCCGTAACTTTATCCTAGCAAACAGTTTCTCGCTGAGGCCACTTAGGCCGTTATGGACATAGGACACTTTGGACATGCTACCTTTGGTTTTTGATTACAACGTATCAGCCATTCTCCAGTCTGTCCCATGTTGATACTATCCATCTATCTGTCATCTGTTAGTACAAGAAAATGAAATTTTCATCGTCCTGTTTTTCTCTCTGATGTGCATGTGGAAATGTGTGTGCTAGCCTAAGTATATGAAATAATTGTCCGCAACTATCTACTATGCTTTATGCTACTAGGCGAGGCCTCGTTGTTCGGCCAGCGTTTTTCGCGATTCGACTGCTATTGTATATTCTTGACTAGCTTGTTCCGGCTACAGTATTTAAGGCGAAACCGACTGTACCATTAGCGACAATACATAATACTTTATGCACACACCCTTGCATGGTGCGTCCGTGCAGGTGAAAAAGATCTCCCATCGGTTATAACGCAATGCATATACACAAAGTTAAATTTTCTCTTAGCCACGTTCGAATGGAACCCTTTGCTTTACCTTCCTAACTAGTTTGCACCACTAAAATTTGCAGGAAATTGCTGCGACTGCTGCTGTTTTTATAACAACTTATATTGTAACTAATATACCAGGTTTCATGTTCTGCTAAGAAAAACACGAAACCCAGGGCTTTTTTGGTAGGCTGCCCAATAGCCAATACTATTTATTATATTATTATCAAGCATTACTGTAATAGACGTATTATCGGGACGATCGAGAATACAATAATAGGCCTCTACATTTCATACCCCCGGCAATTGATTATTCTCTCTCAAAATGTAGTACTAAACGAACGCTGTGTGGCGCTAGTGATCTAACTAAATCGTCTGTGTGTTGTTTTACTTTATTTTCTGCTTTTTATTTTCCCTACTGGCTGGCCTCCACACTCATCGGTACTGTTCTGTACAACGCTTTGTTGCGTGTCGCGTGGCGGCGCCACCTGTAACGTCGCTGTCGTTGCTCGCATCACCTGCGCTGCCCCCTCCACCGCTGTGGGGCTCGGCTGGGCGAACGTAATCGTCACCATAATCGCTATGAACAAAACTTCGCCGTCGACAACAACAACAATAACAACACTAATTATGCCTCTTATATTCCTTTTCTGATCTTCTTTCACTCTGTGGGCAATCTATATTATGCACATTTCTGTTTCCGTATCCAAATCCTCATTCCCTGGTCGTACCTCCATCCGTATTCTATTTCCTCTTTCGTCCTTGCCTGATCGTGGCCAGTTTCAGTATTCGCACCTACAGAAGCGACGAGATCGTTCACGAAGGCTTGATGACCATATGTCGGACAGCTCGAACAGCGTCGTCAGACAGGTGCGTGAAATACGTGATGAATGAATGAATTAGGTTTAATGAATTTAAATAGATATTCACGCTATAATGGTGAATGGGTGATCATTACGAGGGTTGCCGTTCGAAAGCCTGTTGAGCTGCGACCGAGCGAAAGTAGACCTAACGTGAGAACGATTGCGATCTATAGGGACCGAGATGTTATGTCAGGTCGATATGCGTCTGTCGAAAGCAGTATATAAGAACGTAATACCTACGGCAGTTGAGTGTATTTACAAGCGAAGAGATTTTCATATGCGTTTAAGAACATATATATGTATATATATATATAATATATATGTGTTCATCCGAAAGTTTGTCTGTCTTTTATTGTGATTTAGATTATTCATTCATTTATTTTTTTTTTTGCTTTTTTATATATATATATATATATATATATATATATATATATATATATATATATATATATATACACTTTTGTTTGTCCATATACATATATCTATGATAGTGTACAATGACTTGTTTGTATTTGTTCTGCGGTATCTGCTCACGCTACTCATAACTATGCGTATATGAACACTATACTAGATCCGTACCAAATACAATTGTGTGTGTCTCTCTCTCTCTCATTTGCTCACATTGTTAACTTCTTTCTATGCCAACATGTGTCGCTGCGATCCTTCTCTGCTCTCAGTCGCAATGCCTTTATTATCCATACTCATTTATGTTGAGTGTTGAATCATTTATGTTACAAAGAGCCGGCTGACCCCTATGTGCAGATGTGTTATTGCT